AGCTTAGCAGAGTGTGTTTTAGATAACACTGTCTGTAGTGCAATTTTGTAAAATTATTAACATTGCTTACTTTAGCAAGTAAACTAATTATTTATAATAATAACACATGGACTGAAAAGTCCCAGACCTAAAAAAGAAAAACACGTTTTTTTTTTGTTCAAAATTGGCTTTATTCATCAATATAATTTGCATCGAGAGCAACACGATCAGTTCAGCGCCGTTCTAACATTTCAATACCACTTTTGTAGAACTATCCCATCTATGTGTAAGTAAGCACAAACTACTTAATATTAAAAATAGTATTAAATACTCCAGTAGATGATTAAAGATTAGCTAGTTATATTTACACCAGTTGAAATTAATATAGCTTTCTGCATCAAGAGGCTAAGAAGGATTGTAGAATCTAGAATACATCTGATAGCATAAAAATATTTCAAGGATGTCATTTTTATGCAAGTAGTTCATTTAAAATTGTAATCAATGATTAAAAAAATTTGTTTTGCTGCCCTGGATATGTTAGCAAGTTTTGATGTTTTTAAATACTCAGATTACGAATTTTTTCCCGAAAGTGTTAAATATGTTCTTGTTTTTATGATAATGGTATATATTTTGATCAAGTATGGGACTTTTAGCAATAAAATTTATTTTCCAGTCATGATTAGGATTCTGCGCACCTTTTTTGCGTTAACAAACCTCTCCTTAGTGAAAATATGCGAAATATTATGCATTAAGAAGTTTTTAAAGTTTGAATAAAAATGAAAGCTAGAGATATTTACACAGTTTACAAAATGTTCCATTTTACTCAATAAAAATTTCGCTTTCATTTCAAAATAATTAATGTGGACTTCCAAAAAAACATTGATGCCGCCAGATTTCCAGATATCGGTACAGTCTATCGATGGGCGATGTGAAAGGGCGGGAGAAATATTTAAGTCAAAGTTATTTTCTCAAAATGTCCTCAGTATTTTAATATGTGATCAAGTTAGGATTAATACAACATATTTTCCAAGCATTGGATGTGTAATCATATTATTTTAATAACATCTGTAGAAAATTTCCGAAGCTTAGTAAGAAAAAGTTGAGAGGTAGAGTATTTGATGATGATGAATACAGCAATTAATGAAAGGTATAGACTGTACTGTTCTAGAGTTTTGTATTGATGGTCCTAAATTATGAAGAAATTGTGAAAAATATGCTGACAAACTTTTAGAGTCTAGAAGCAAATATGTGTACCAAGTAAGACTATGTCCGCAATCATCTGAATAAATTTTCGTATACTCTACGAATATGTAGTAAGGAACCAAGTGGATTGTTCCGAAAGGATCTAAAAGTGATGGAAGATAGGTAGCAAGAGATTGCCAATTGGAAAGTTATAAATGAATAGCTTCGAAAAAGAGTTTTATTGAAATACGTTTTCTACGTATAACATATGTTTTCGACAATTCTCTGTTTACTTTGACTTTTCAAAACAGATCTGACATTTACTAAAGAAATCTGCTATCTTGTTTATGTTTTCTGATTTTTGTAATGTAAAATAATTATATATATAGATTTAAAAAAAAACAACGACAGCATATCTTACAAAATCATTGATAGTTTCATGAAATCTGGATACAAATATATCTAAAATCGATCGTATCTAGGGCAAAAAAAAAACATTGTAGAGCAGTGCTAAAATAAAACTTTTTTGATAAATTAGACATAATCTAGAAATACACAAAATATTGTTTATTTACGTATCAGTTAGGTGGAACCTTATACTTTTGCTATCTTGTTTCATCGTTGCGCTCAAACCATTTGGTGCTCTCAATGAAACTACTTATGTCCGTTATATTTTTTGTGGACAACCATTTAAGGTTTGTTGCCTGATGGGTGCCAAGTATTTAGTATCAGGTTTGTGTTAGAGCCGGGCATTCACAGAGAATGTGGAACGTTTCCTTATTCCCTTCTTTTCCATTCACGTCTAGAGGGTGTCCTCACTCTAAAATGACAATTGAAATCTTACTTTGAAAGGTTAAGCCAGTAATTTATAATTTTTAATATTTCCGGTGTAAGTTTTTCAATAATAATTTACCAAAGTATATTGAACATAAATATGAAACAAAAGTTGTAATTTTTCATTTTGATAGCTAGTTTAATTAGCCATTTTTCTATATCGTTCTATATCACTAAAAACCCTACAAATTGATTGAATTTGATGTCTAAAATTAATTTTTTTTTATGATATGTCTTGATAATTTCTGTAAGCAAAATACCTTCAGTGTTGTAAAGCTATATATGCATCCGAAAATGCTGAAAATCAATACCCCGTACATAAAATCTAAAACCTATCTCGTATGATTGGCTTCTAAGGGATGCAATTAAACGTTCGCCCAGATTTTGATTAAATTGGAAAATTTTTTTTAATGTAGTGTTATTGGCGCCTATATTCTGTTTCACACAATACCGAACTAACAAGTTTCATTTTGTCGTAACGGGCACTAGGTAAACATTAAAAGAATAAAAAGTGCTTTAATAGTAAATTAATGTATTGTAATAGAGTTGATATAATAAATCTTGAATTTCATATTTTCAGGCGCTTTTCTGGTACCATATTGTATTATGCTGTTAGTAGGTGGTATACCATTATTTTACATGGAACTAGCATTGGGTCAACATAACCGTAAGGGTGCCATTACATGTTGGGGACGCTTAGTGCCGTTATTCAAAGGTAAAAAGTGTGCAATATTAATTTTCAAGTCAGCTTAACTTTTTTTTTTTAATTTTGAAAATTCAAATATTATAGGAATCGGATATGCAGTGGTGCTGATTGCTTTCTATGTTGATTTTTATTATAATGTTATAATCGCATGGAGTTTACGTTTCTTCTTCGCCTCATTCACAAATAATTTGCCCTGGACGTCGTGTACAAATCCATGGAACTCGGACTATTGTAAACCGGTAATATTTTTTTGTTAGAAAATTATTTGCTTTAAATATAATAATAAAATTTTTGAAATATTTTTTGCGCATTTTAATTTTAGTTTGAAGTTCAGCAAAATACAGTTCTTCCAATACAACCAACCATCCAATCGCTAAATATTTCTATGAATTACACCGATTTTTCATTTGACAATCATTCCATAGTAAATTACGAGGGAAACAAAACTTGGGAAAGTACAACGACAACAGAGCGATTTCATTCCGCAGCATCCGAATATTTCAAGTGAGTTTTGCTCTAAAACATTTCTAAACTTTTTAGTTAGCAAATATTTGGGAAATACCATATGTCATTAAACACTATCTAGTTCTATTAATTTTGAAATTTTTATTCTTGCAGTCGTTATATACTGGAATTAAATCGCAGTTCAGGTCTAGACGACCTCGGCCCAATCAAATGGGATATGGCCGTTTGCCTGCTGGTCGTCTATCTCATCTGTTATTTCTCCTTGTGGAAAGGCATTAGCACGTCCGGTAAGGTTGTGTGGTTTACGGCGCTTTTTCCGTACGTTGTGTTGTTGATATTGCTCATACGTGGCATTACACTGCCTGGATCGGCCATGGGTATAAAATACTATTTGAATCCAAACTTTGATGCCATATACAAAGCGGATGTATGGGTCGATGCGGCGACACAAGTGTTCTTCTCATTGGGACCTGGTTTCGGTGTGCTTTTGGCGTATGCTTCATACAATAAATACCACAATAATGTTTACAAGTGAGTTTTTTCTTCATTATAAATATTTTCAGATGTACATTTACTTTAATTGCTTTTA